GGTACGGGAATTCTGTAACTTTCTATCGAGGCTTTTCGGTATCGTTAATTAGCAACAATCCATGAAGAGCTCCGTCTTTATCGAAGATCGTCTTTGCCATTCGCTGTCTCTAGTTAACGATACCGAAAGGCATCGATAGCAAGTCACAGAATTCCCGTACAAGAAAGCATTTACAATTTCGATATCGAGCATTTCGTTGAGAGTTTAACGTACTTAAGTACGTAGGATAACAAACATGTTTTTTTGTGTTTCAGGTGTACGCCGTATTGTAAACATAACGCGCGCCGCCGCGAGTAATGAGGGTGGGGGGTGACCGCTCCGGCGTCTCGGTGGTGACTCGGCGTTTACTCCGGTTAGTTCGCTCGCGACCTTCGGGTGTGTCGGAGCGTCGTTCGGCACGGACTTTTTCCGTTCCCTCGTGCTCTCTTTCTCTCTCCCTCTTCCGCGCGCGCGACTAGTTTCTCGGTTCGGAATTTCGGAGTGATCTCCCCGGTTAAAAGTGCAGCGCCTGTGCCTGCGGACGGGATAGAAGACCGTCCGACTTGAACATCGTGCGTGCGTGCGTACGAAGCTCGCGGACCGGCGGTGGTGAAACGCGCGCCGGTTTTTCGTCATCTACACACGTGGACAGCCGAGTGAACATCGTGCCGGTGAGAGGATCTCGCGTCTTCCCGTCGATCGTCGGGAGCAACAAGTGAGGTCCGTCGAGAAGTGTTTTCCGCCAACTTTTCGACCCCGACGGATTCGCGTCGCGCCTCGTGCAGCGCTCGGTTCACGTGGCTCGGAGTCGTACCCCGCGGGGTTGAGTTGGCGTGCGGCGTGGCATCGAGAATCGATCGCGATCGGTCGAGATCGCCGGCGTCGGTGCGACACGACGAGGGTATTGGCGGCGCGGAGACTTGAGCGCGTGGCGTCGCTCCGGTGCCGTTCCGTCGATGGAGGCGAGATGAACGCGGCGATCGCTCGGGAAATCTCGCATGGGGAAAGCGGAGGCGCGCGCGAATCCACGCGATCGTCCGGAAATTCGCGCTAATCGCCGGCGAGTCCGCGAGACGCGGGGCGAGAGACGTTACTGGTTTCCGCTCGCGATCGACATGGCGCGCGACGGCGTGGCGTGAATCGACGAATGACGAGTGCCGGAGTGAAGACGTGTACGAGCGCGCGAAAGTGACTCGGAAGTTCTTGTTCCCTTTAACGCGCCGCGTCCGACGATCACGACGGTCCGTGTCGAGTGTCGTCTCCGTCAATGGTCGCTCTCTTCAGTGCCATCAAGGGAATCGCCGGAATCCTCGTGCGTGGACCATGGCCGCTGCCGCGAGCAAGGGACACGTGACGCTGCGACGCCTCCTCGTTGTCGTCCTCTCGTTGATCCTCAACGACCTGCTCGTCGTCCAAGCGGCGCGCGGATTCAGGCACAACCTCAAGCAAGGTGAGTACCTGCTACCTGTACATTGTCTCGCCTGACTGACCTGAGCTGGTTCAGTGCCTCCTTTCGTGAGCGAATTGTCTTCTTTTGTCTAATTTCTTAAATATGTTTTCTCAACAATAGAATGAACGCTAAATCGTTGAGTCGTTTGTAAATTTTGCAAGTGGAGCTTAAATGTCACGAATTGTCGAAGGGTCGAAACCACATTCGGCGTGGAACAATTTTATTGAGGAATAATAGGGAAATGTGTTTCTGTGGCTCAAGTTTCTTTCAACGAGAGAATATTGTTTTATAACAGTTGACTCTTTTCTTAATTAAACTCGTTAATTTCTCGAAAGAGTTTCAATATTGGAGAACGTTGAAAAAAGTCATAGTTCAGTCGTAATCTCATAATTTGACGCGACTTATGTATATTTTCCCTCAGCTATTCCACGAACTTTCACACGGTCTTTATTTCCTTTCAAGTACGGCTTTTAAATGCAGATTACAATATCATTGCCGATGCAGCCATTGACGTTATGGCGTTCGGATTTGCATAAAGCGTAAATATTACGCATACGCGTGGAATACAATTATTCGTAACATTATTCAAATCGGTAACAAAACGTCTCAAGGTTATCGCGATTGCATTTTACTAGGAGGGGCAAACTGCCCGTTTTTTAAGAGAGTCAGTCTTGCCTCGTGCACCATCGTATCGACAGGATAAATTTCCGATCATACACTGATGAAAAAAATATTACTTTATTCAAGAAAATTATTCATTAGGTGGCTCCTAATAGCTTATTAAATTAAATTAAAAAATAATAAACAAATTAAAAGACGCATTGTTTTAATTTAAGTATTTATTAAATATCAAAGAATAGATGATTTTTAATTTAAAAAATTGTATTTTAATTCTATAAAATGTTTATTAAGATGTAATTTTCACAGCGAAGAAAATTGGATTTCTTATTTAACAAAAACAATTATTTCATTTAATAAATAGTGTTCTATATCTCGTGAAAGCTTTATTTGAATGTAGAAGATGTAATAAATTAAATTAATTTACATAGATTTACTTGAAATGTGATATTTTTATTTAAATGGAATAAATGTTTACTCTAGTAAAAAATAATTTTAAGTAAATCTATCTACTTGGTTTAAAAAATTAACTTGATTTACTTTAAAAACAATTTTTTTTGTCAGTGTACATAAGTCAATTGTTATCCGCAAATTATTCCAAGCTCGCAGCTTCAGCCAAGTTGTCTCCGATGCGATGATGATCCAAAAATAGAAACTTAATAAATACGCAAGCAATTATCTTTAATTCTGATAAATGCGATGTCTCGCGAAATACTCGCCGGCATCTTCGCTCGGCGTGGAAGTTAATTAATCGATACCGCGTTAATTCTCGCGGCGGATCGCATTCTCGAGACTGTTGACGCGAGGCACCGTGAGACGCCCACGCGATGCTGCGCCACGATGTTTTCCCGGGATTAAATCCCGCGCCATTTCTCGCGCGACCGCGCGGTAATCTTTCGCTTCTTAAATTTCGGCTTCCCGGCGTTACGCGATGCAGCGGCCTTTGGGAAATTCCGGCCGAATCCCGCCGCGGCCTCGCCTGCTCTCCGAGAATATTAAGCGTCAGGACATTCCGCGGCCCCCTTTCCCTCCACTTTGGGTGGCTCGTTGCTTTATATTTAGCGACGCGACGACGCGACCGCCTCGAATCTCCTCCACCGCAGTGGGGCGCACTCCGCGAGTGTGAACGCACCCTTTTGCCTCGTTACTCCGGGGCGATCAAAGGCGGCCTCCTCCCGGGGGATATCGATTCCTACGTATCGGCGATATCGCGTGGAACGTGCGCGCTCGAACGGCGAGTGGCAAAAATGCCGGGGGAGACGGGAGAAACGCGCGAAGAGAGAAAGCGCGAAGGGGGTTTCCGGCCGGTGTAATTTAATGTAATTTATGAGCGGCTGGACTTTTCCGCGGAGGATTTATTTGCGGACGCACATAAATAAAAGGACCATGTCACTGTGAATTAATTAACATCTTTGCGAAAACACTAATTAAAGCAATTAATTGCGGCTACAGATTTTTCAAGATGCAATTATCCTATAAGAGAATGGTTCTTCTCGGCTTTGACTTTTGTGCTGATTAAGTACGATATTTCTAATTTCTCTAAAAGTGACACGAAGTCAATAATAGGGAAGATTACGCGCGATCTTTGACAATAATTGGAATAATTGTTCGAACTTGAAGCAACAAGCATTATAGCGTTGAAAAGTTTTCTTACATTATCTGGAGATTGCAAATCAACGCATTGTACTTTTGCATATTAAATTCGCGTCGTACTCTCGAGATTTGAGAAAAAAATTCCGCGCGCCAAGAGTATCGTTTACAACTTTTTTAATTCGACGGCGAGCGTGTCGTTAGCACGAAGATTCGAGATTCCTCGACGCGACAATGTATCAGGCCGTTCTAGATCGTTGCGTTTCGATGAAAACTCCCTGACCGTTGAACGGCTCGTTTACGAGGTAATTAACAGCCGCGGTTCGGCCACCGAGAATAATTAACTTTGGCGGATACTCTCGTCTTTTGTGTCGTTTACGTTCTCGCCTTTCGTCTCTCCTCCGCGCATCCTCTCTCTCTCTCTTTTTTCCCCCCCTTCCGACTTGGAGCCTCTCGGATGCTCCTCTCTCGAGGGACAGAGCCGCGCGAGAAACACATTTTTAATGACGCTTACGCGATGACTGTGCGGCTCTCTCGCATCGATAAATAAAAGTAACGCGCGATAATTAACGTTTGCCGTCGGCTGCCCCTTCGACGTGAGATCGATCGATCGATCGCACACGTAGCGGAGTCGCGCCGCCTCCGATCGGATCTTCGAGATACCAAGATCGAGCGGCGCGCGCAACAACCCGCCTGTGTATCGCTTCCTGTTTCTGCAATCCGACCGGATCGGCTCGTACGAGTGCAGGCAAACGCGAAAATTCCACCACTCCGGGATATTGCGAAATGTATTCCCCTGTCCTGCCACTTGTACCTAGCACACAATACACAGCGTATCGTGTTCGCCATCGCCCTGAGTCCCTGCCTCGTGCTCGAGTTTCGTCGACTGGTTGAATGGTTAAACTCGTTCGTGTAGATTTTCGTACGGATAAGAAATGGAACAAGGTACGCGTAAAAAGTGCTCTTTTAATCGAGTCAATTAGAAGGAGGTGACGTCACAGATTATACAAATTAGAAGAATGAGTTTTCATCGTTTTTAATGCCTTAATTTTTGGACTCGAGAGGAAAGAAATGTCGAGAGAAAATTAATTCTCTTTCTTCTTTATAAGCAATGTAACTAACAATTTTTAGACTAAATGATTCGCATTGGTACAAGTCCATTTTTCAATACCTATTCCAATTAATACTTGTACTCAATTTATCTACTGACAATAGGTAATATGTGTCGTCATTTTTATCGAAGAAATTAATGCTCGCTATATCATGTGCGTTTTCCCGTGGGCCTCATTTCCTGTTTCTACGATGCAATCTGTTGGTAATGATTAAAGCACCTAAAGCGATATTGTCTATGCAATCGTTGCGAAATGCATTTGTCTACATTGATTCCGGTCGCGTCTCCTTTTTCAATTTTGTAATTTTGTAGCTGCATTATATCGCGCATTTGCAATTTCAAATATTTGTACTCCTAAACTTTCGTACGCATTTTTCGTATTAGTTTAAACACTGTTTTCTTTTGTTGCTTTTTTATTCGTACATAAAACTTGTTATTCTTTATATTCTTGATGGGAAACAAACGATTGGTATCAAATATTTCCCCACGTTTATTTCATAATTACTGGAACAGTGCTTTATTCAACCCATCAGATTAACTTTCTCGTATACATCGTGCACTTAAAACGATCGTCTGGTAAACGGCGTTCGGTCGCATTTAACATTCGATATTGATGACTCGGATAATGCAATTTCTTCTCGCGAGATTTTCGGGCAACGCCGAGCCGCGCGAGAGAAACGATAATGAAGCAACTGGCTGAATCGAATAGAGATAAAGACGCCGTGTTGCGGTACCCCCGAGTTGTCGAGGGACGGAAGGCGGTACCCGGGCTCTATCTAAACGGCGAGCATTCGCCCGAGGGGGGATCATTAATTTAATTAGTTTCGGAGAAAGAGCGGATTTAATCGTTCGCTCCAATGGATCGACGTGAATGCTCGTTGTTCGGGCTCGGAGAAGCCGGGGCGTTTCTGCTTTAACGTTCGTTGCGTTTCATCAGCAGTTATCTTAAACTGCAAACGCGGGGAAGCTGAAAGATACATCGACGAAGTCGATTTATGGCATCGGAAATTTGTCACGATAGATCGTGTCAGCCAGTACGCTTTTTGATTAACGCAATGATAGTCTATGTAATTTGCTTGTTGAACAAATGTATGTGTTCCTGAAGTTCCATGAGATACTCGTCTCGATTTATTCATTAAATGTCGCTTATTAATTAAAATATTGTAATTAATTGTTCCAAGAAACGTTTTCTCTAAGATTGACACATAAATTGTCGGTCATGTAAATACGCGTATTGACTTAAGTGAGAAACGCGACGTTTGATAGCTTTGATTAGAATTTCCAAGCGGCTTAGCTCTCCGTTTATTCTGATCGCACTTAGTATCCTTGATCTCTGAGGATTGGCTCGCAACAACAGGTGTCAATCACTTTGAAATACGTCAGTAATGACATAAACGATTCGCGGTTGACGTTACGTAGCGCACCTGGCGCCTTTTCGAAGCCGTCGCGATGCCCGCCCGAAATCTCTCGCGCCGTTCTCGAAATAATCCCATTCTCTGTTCCGCGCGCGCGCTCTTCGTTTTGTTCCTGTTTAAATTCTAGGCCGGTCTGTAAAACAACACTGTGCCGGCGTGTACGTGCCCGGAGTACCGAGGGGGTTCTATGGGGCCACGTGGGCGCGCGGCTAGGCCCTTAAGGGAGACTGCGAGACCGTGACAGGGGCAATCCACTTCAACTGCGA